TTTATATATATATATATATATATATATATATATATATATATTGGGTCCCTCTCGAAGCCCCTTCGCCAGCTTCAGCTAGCTACCTAGCCAGCTAGCACAAGGGGCCAGCTAGCGAGCAGGCTGGCTAGCGACAATTTCGTGAGTGCCGCATAGAGGATGCATTGTTTAGAGTTTAATATTATTAACAGATTAGAATACATGAGGCTCTGAGTGGGAGTAAACCCCAAGACATTAGCATGAAGCCTTCAGATGTCTTCATCGAATTCTGTTGAGCAGTAACGAACCCTCTGCTCTGCTTGCCTCAGAACTTCGTTACTGAATCCTGCAAGGCCCCCTATGATGGCTCCCAGTGGATAGCAGAATTGTTGTTCTCTTAAGAGGGCCAGTTTGATTTGATATTGCATCTCATCTTCCACATCCATCAAGCCGAAGATAAACCCAAAGACGCCACCCATAACAAGCGTAAAAAACAAGACCATATATGCCTGTTCCCTCGACTCAACCAGCGGCTTGGCGACGGACGATTGAAAGAAAGAAAAGAGATAATTCACAACGTCCACAAGAGAAAACGTCAAGGCAAAAGCTACAGATACACCCAATACGGTGTACAGAGGCACCTTAAATATTGCGTGAAGGCCTACAAACCAATTTCGCTTCAACAGAAAACACAAAACACCAGAAAACACAATTAAACCTGCAAAGAACGTGAGCTGCAGCCTCCGGCCCTGAGACGCCCCGTCCGCGTTCACGTTGATCCTCCAGAGAATGACAGCGCCGACGGTGATGAAGACAATTCCGAGATAAACCGAGAAAAAAGAAGAAACCGATATTTCGACTAGCGTGCAGTTCACGATAAGAGAAGATACGATACCCAGCAAGACCCCAACCAAAGCACTTATTGTGCCTTTGCATATCATGTCTTTCGTCATTTCAACACGAGTCCAAGGAAAAAGAATTCCTACTAAACTCCGACTTCCTCCTAAGTCCAAGCGGTTCGGCGAATCACCACCACCGGAAACGCTGCTGTATGTACACCTCGCGGGGGGCCCCGAGGACTTGTCTGCCCCGAAACCCTTCATTTTATGAACGTTTTCTGTAGAATCGGGTATATACAGCTTGGAAATGAAAGGAAATAAACAAGATATAAACAGAAACGATAAAAGATACGCAGATATGTCGCAGATCAGGGCGACGGAGGCTTCGGAGCACGAGGCCGCCGACTCTGCTCCAGAAGCGCTCAGCAAAGAATTAATTGGAGTTATGTGGCCGATTTATTTACTTTCGTTTATTAAACAAACAAAAACAAAAAGAACAAATTTGAGTATGCAACAGTCAGCCACCCTCCCTCGCGCAACCGCCGCAGCCAGCAGAGCACGATGGAAGAGGAGAGAGTCGGCTGCTTCCGTTGAACTGTTGCGGTTATTTCCCTTAAAAATTCAAATAAAACAAAACTAACCCCAATAATGACAGTAAATAATTTCGTTAATCTGATTAACTAAAACTTTTAAACCTCCGATGCATGCTGCGCTCTCCTTACGATCAACATATCCGTCAGGTGGCCGAACACGGAGTGCAGAACTCCGCGGGAATCATCACATTGTGTAATTATTGCATTTAATTTACACTTTCTCTTTTAGATTAGACATATAAGGGATTTATTCGTTAGTCCACTGGGAGAAGTATGCTTCAAATGATCTATCTTCTCTCGCGTACGCACTGAGAACCAACATATATTTCACACAGAATAACGCATTTTAAACACTATGTCCCCTTCTGCTGTCTGCAGCAGTCTGCAATGAAGCGGCGGAAGGGCCTTAGACAAAACAGTAGCCAGATTATATTTATATTACATTTAGAGTTGTTGCAGCTTCCACCCCGTTGCAACACCCGTTTCATATACAACTCCCTTCTAACCCTTTTGCTGCACTTCTATTAATGCTCTAGAACTTATTCTTATTAAGCTTTTCTCCTTCGGTCCTCAGTAACCAGCCTGAATGAATAATACAACAACAACAGTAAACATGAAATGCTGCATTGAATTTCGCTACTGAACATATTCTTGCATTTGTCTCTATTCAGCAGCCCCACGCCCCCGTGCTGTTGAGAGCAGCAGGAGGCCTGCCTGAAGACAGGGTGAGTCTGTTGCTGTAGCTTCTTGATAAAAGCTAAATATACATCGCAAGTGAATATACAATAACTCTCGTGCAGCTATCGAGAAGACAGAGAAGTTTTTCTTATTATTATTTGTGGTTTCTCCCGCAGTAATACCCCAACTGCACATTTAATACAAATGATCGGCACCTCAATTTAGCTACTAGCAGCCTATAACGTCGTCAGTTGGCAATATATATATATATATATATACACATATATGTAGAGGAGCAGGTGCCCCCGCTCTTGCTTTATCGCTGCTGCATTCATTCCGAGACAAGTTCTCTCTTTTAATGGTCATAGTTGTAGCTAAAAATTGTTTTAATATATATTTTCTTCGCTTCCACGTACACTGCAGTGCATTGCAGTGAGACGAGCGCAAGGGAAACAAATTGCAATTCAGGTGTAGTAGCTGCCTCTGTTCAGCCTGAGTAAAAGCTCTCAGGGGATTCAGGAGAAGAGACGGGAGATGACTTTCGTCTTTTGTTTTTCTTTTTCTTTTGAACGGAGCAATCGGCGGTTTCAAGTTTTTCTCTGAGATTGCAGCAGAAATAAGAAGATAGCAAAGAAATCACAGGAATAAACTAGCGAGAATAATAACTCCTCCCTTATTTAATAGTAGGCCTGTGCCTTGGTTTATTTTTTGTAAAGTTTTATTAATTTTTATTCTTACAGGAGCATCTCCAGGACTTTGTCTTGAATAATTTCCTTCGCCGCTTTCGTCTTCACGCGTTTTGAGGCATGCGAGTTGAGGGTATTTAGAGATGCATATTCGTTGTTTGCTATCCCCTGTGTTTGTTAATAGCAACCAAGTATTTATAATATGCATTAAAATCAAGGGAAAGAAAAAAAGGAGTACTCACTGACACAGACAAACGCTCTAAATTCAACAAATTTAATGCTGAGGATTGAAACTCCCGATTTTGCGAACTGCAGATGATGCCGGCTAAAGAGGCAGCAATGCTGGGGGCGAAAACTTCTGTTGCTTTTTTCCTCTGAAAAAAGAATATATGTTTTTGACGGTTGTCTGGTTGCATGTTTTGTTTACATTTAGTTGTTTGAATGCGTATACGGTGTACTTATTACAAATATATGTGGGAAAATGAGCACTAGGAGCTGTAGTGATTTTATTTGTACTAATTATATTATTTTTATTTTCTTCGTTTATATTTAAAAGACAACTTACAGCTATATCTCGGATGCTGCGGAACCCTACGGGAAATTTCTTCTGCAGCTGATTGAACAAACTGTGGAAAGCAGAAACGACGGTTCCCCTCAAGCTCGTTTCGCCCTGAATAGGCCAGTAGAATTCACACAAAAAGTGTTTAAATGAAACCAAGTCAATTTGTTATTGATAATTTTATTCATAATTATTAAAAGGTAAATCTGTTTCTTTTCTGGTGTGATGGTCAGTTACCTGAAGGTGGCTCTTCGCAAACGAACAGAACAGCGACTTATTGCTGCGTATGTCGATGGCCTGAAAAATGGATTTTAATACTCTTTTGTTCATTTAAAATATATTAAATATACTTTCAAAAATTACACATGTATACTTTGATTTATTTCATTGCAAGAGCAGTACCAAGCTTATTCGGCTCCAGCAAACGGGCTCCTCTGCAGTCTGAACGCAGAACCGGTATGCGAGCTGCAGGCAAAATAGAGATGAAACGCGAATTAATAAGCAAAAAACCGGTGAATTAATTTGGGAAATTCTATAAAATTCCTAAAAGGTTATTTCAATATATTATTTTTTCCATGAGTTAACGCACCCTTTCCAGATTGTCGTCTGAAGCGGTTTGGTCGTCCGCTTGCGCATCGCTTGTGAATTCCTCAATTCCGAAATATGGTCCAAATTGTGCGAGGAAAGATCTAAAAAATGAAATAATAATTATTAAATTTAGAAAAAACAACAAAAAACAAAACACAACTAAATAAATAACTAATTAAATGCACAAATTGTACCTGAGACTGTTTGTCAATAGACAGGCAGATGCTGCGTTGGGTAGAAGCGGCATTCCGTTGCAACTTCGGATTAAAATGATTTCTTTTTTGTGGTTTTCTTCGTTTTCAGAGTCTTCTTTGTTTCTTAATTCCGCCTTTATTCGAACTGTTGCTAACTCTTGAGCAGCACAGGCGTTTGCTGCTGCTAATAACCGCCCTTTAGCCTCGCCTCTTTCAACACCATAGGAATAAATCATTTGCCCTTCTTGCGATTTAAACACTTTCTCCGTCCCAAACGCCAGCTTTATTCGAATTAGCTGCTGAAATCAAGTGTATGCATTTGTTGCAGCAAAGATATAAGCGAAAATATATTATTAGCATACGCACACTTTTTATTTTTATTGTACACAGTTATACAGAAATAACACAAGTAATGCGCTATTTATCTATTATATACCATACATAATGTATAAACAAATATATTTTTATATCTTACCTGCTCCCGCCATAATGTGTAGGCAGCACAGTATGCTTCAAGCGCCGCCTCCCTCTGCGCATCCCAGAGGGGAGAAATCTGTTTGAAGGCGAATATTCATAACAAATAATAAGTATTATAGTGATAGTTATAAAAATAGTTATTATTACACTACTTAAAACAACTTGCAGGCCCCTTGCAGTGTACAAACAAATACATTTTGTTGCGGCTGTACCTGCAAGGAGAATTCCGTCACCCACGCCCATTCTTCTGTTGATATATTTTGCACTGCAAAAAAATTAGTTAAATCAAATGCATTCACTGAGATGAAATTAAACTAAGACACAACCAGACAGACAGAGGGACATGCAAACCATCAGAAAGGCATCCAAGCAAGAAACATCTATGCAGAACAAACACACAAACGAACTACAAGCAATAACGGACGAAAAACCTGAATGTAAAAGAGCAAACAAATAGACAAACAAACAAAGTATATATAGACAAGAAAACAAAAATGTATGCAGGTGAAACAAAGAGCCTAGCAATACAGCAACACGTGCCGAGATGCACAACAACACATAGCAAATAAGCAACCAAACTGAGCGTATAAAGTCAAAGACAACAGACAAACAAACAAAATATATGTAGATGGAGGGACAAATGGCAAGCAAACAAACCTGAGAAATTTAAAATCTCAGGCGCTGATGAATTCCCGCTGAGGACCATGCCGAATGTCCAGACTTCCTTTTCATTCATCCTGGGCAATAATACCAAAAAAATGTAATAGTAAAATTAATAAATTATTTTATATAGCGAAACATAGGCATATAATTATATTAAATGGCAGTTTGTAGCTGCCTTACCTTATTTTTACATTGAGAGGTTCGGCTAAGTCCCGTTGTGAATACAGCATAACCTTGAAATATTCAAAAAAATGAGTTTGAAGAAACAGAAGAAGTAAAACAAGATATTTATTTTGTTATTATGTTTGATCTTTTAAGCAAAGCAACGAACTAAAATATTTTATTCACCGCTTTTAATCCAATTCCAAACTCCCCTCCCGTCTTCGCGTCATTTGCCTTCGAAGAGGAAAACACTTCGCCCAGCGCTGCGACGGAGTCACAGTCGATTCCGGCGCCCTATTTGATTTAGATTTCACAATAAAAAGTAATGAAAAATGAAAACATTAATTTATTAGAGTAATTTAAAAGGTCTTTTACTGCAAAATAAACTCACAGTGTCTCTGCAGATCACAGAAAGATATTTCCCCTGCACTGAAACCTCCAATTCAACTTCCTTATCAGGGAGGAACGGGAAGCGAGACGAAATTGAATTTGTCTTTGTGCATGCATCAACTGCATTATCTAGAAACTCCTTGCAGACCATAAAAGCGCCATTTTCTTCGTTGAAACCGGTGATTTCGAGGTCTATAAATGAAATGCATCAACAAAAAGGTGCAAAAGACGAAAAGAGTGAGGCGACGCTCACACTGCGACAGAAATTCTCCTGAAGTCCTGTTTGTTGTTGTTTCTGTTGTTGCCATTTTCAACTTTTAATTCTCTTTGTGCAAAGTTTGTCTACATAAATGGAGTAATTATTGATATGCTGTTGCCTTCACTCGGCTTCAGGGCGTCAGGTGGCTGCGCAAAATGCAGTTGCCTATACACCTGAACTGAGAACGGTAAGAACGAAGGGTACTGAGACTTTAGCATCAACATTTCCACGTATTTTGCATTTACTAGTGCAAATAATTGTTGTTTTCTGCAGTGAGGGGAGAGGAGAGGAGCAACGTAAAAATGCCGCAGCCATATATATTCATTATATTGCCCTATCGTTGCAACTAAGCATTCTCAGCTCTACAAGAACTAACAATTACTTTAAATAAAGGGATATCTGCAGTTGCAACACCAAATTCACCGCTGTGTCGTAGTTACTATCGAGACACCCGAACTTTCCACTCCCTTTCGGCTTTTTCATTGTTTTAGGTTTGACTGAGTTGAGTAGAAAACTGCGTTCAGCATAGGAAAGCCAAGCAAGGTCAGTTGCGTTTCCAGTGCATTCTTCTGTAAAAGGGCAAAGAGACGGAGATCTGTTCTACTAGAACAGATCCCTCAAAGTGGCGGCCCCCAACTCCCCCCATTGTTTCCCTTGCAGCTGAGCTCGCCTGTACGCGTGCTGCTGCTTGTGGTTGCTGCACAAGGAACTCCTCAAACAGACAGCTTTAGCGTTTGCCCTCTGAACTGTGTACGTACAAAGCTACATAGATAGAAAGTGCGGGCATGCACTACTTTTCAGTGTATGCAGAGCCGCCCGTTGTGTGTATACTTCACACACGCATACACCCAATTAATTGTACGGTGTATGCACAGCAGTCGCTTGCATCAGCGACAATCTCGAGGAAGCCACGGAGTATCTGCCATTTCGCTTAATTCTGCAGATCCTAAAGAAATATCTCCAGCATCGCCTTCTTGCATTGACCCCTCATCAATGCAGCCAATGGTGGTGGGTACAGGGCCGTAGATTGACGACTTGGGGCCTCCCCTTCTCATCTCCAATCCCTCTGCAAACAAACAAATAACACCGAAATCAACATCAATAAAGCGTTTGCAACTTATTTGCATGCATCTGCATGCACTTGCATGCACCTGCATGCATCTCTTTATGCCTCAGAGCGAACAATGGTGTCTTTCATGAGAGCCGTGGGCCTTCAGCAGCAGCAACAGATGAAGATGAGACAAGAGAAGGAGAATAAGATCAACAGCATTCTTCTCTTTTTCTGTTTATTTACCTTGTCTATTAAAAGCCTTTCTTCTGCTAACTCCAGCAAAGACCTGACCGAAGACCTGCGCCACGCGGCTGCCTCTTCTGATGAATTTGCATGCGATAGCAACAGCAGCAGCAATTAGAAGTACCAGCAAAAAGACAGACACCCCCCCAAAACGAAAGACTTCTTCTCGCGCTTCTGCAGGTATTTCCGTATAGCGATAAGCAAACGGCTGAGCAGACCCTGATGATTTGCTTTTAAAGAACTTCGCTATAACACCAACCCTGCAACGCAAACAAAACGCCAAGCAACGCCTTACTTCATTCATCCGTACATAATGCATGCAACAATGCATGCATGGTGCATGCATGCATGAAACATATATAATATTGTATATATTATATTTATTAATCTATAAATATAAATATACATATATATATACATATATATATTTATTTACTATGCATACACCTATACATACATATATATATATATATATACAAACATAAAATGTATATATGTATGTATTCTTACGTATATTTATAAATCTATAAATATATATGCACATATATATACATATTAATAATATACAAATATAAATACAAATATATATATTATATATATAGCTAACCTATAGGCTGTTTCATCATCGAATTCGATGTTGATGGAGTGTGAAAGACGGCCGGGGGGAACGGAGATTTTTTTAGCAGTTTGCAGCAGAGAGGCGTCACGATATACACCGCAAGGCGCCAGCCAATTAGACTCTGCTTTGTTTGCTTTCGCAATAAACACTTCGTAAACAACAAAACCATCAACTGCAGCAGAACCACGCGCTGCTGCTGCTGCTGCTGCTGCAGGAGAACACGCAAAGTCCTCCGAGTCTCTGCAGCACAAACAAAAATAAACAAAAAGAAATGAAAATTGAAGAAAACAATATTATCCTAACAATATTAATAATAAAACCCACGCATATTAATATATATATATATATATATATATTAAGGTGAAAAGGAAACAACTAACAGGGGCAGCCCTGTTTACAACAGCAGCAGCAACACAAACACAGACAGACGCGCAGCAGCAGCAGCAACAACACCAGAAGCAGCAAAAATTGCAACTGCAGCACCAGCAATAACAGCAACTACAGCAGCAGCAGCAACATCAAAACCAGCAACAGCAGCAGCAACAGCACAACTAGGAACAGCAGCAGCAACAACGCAACCAGCAGCAACAGCACCATCAGCAACAGCAGCATCAGCAGCAGCAGCAGGACATACCCATTTGCTGCAGTAATAGTATCGACAGCAGGTGCTGCAATGAGGGGACTCCAGCTAATATCGACAGCAACAGTTTTCGGAGCACTGCCCCACAGCTGAGGCAGCCATCTGGAGCGGCTGATGCTCCAATGAACATCAATATTTGCTGCTGATAAGCAAATAGCATCTTTTAAAGGCGTTACACGAACAGAAAAGCTGCTGCTGCTTGAAGAAAGAAAGCCTGAACCTACAAATCGTCGCTGGCTTTTTATTGACGCCCCTACATAATTAAGTCGCCAAGCAGGTATAACCTAAAAATAAAAAAAATAAAAATAAAAATAAATATATTATTGTTTACTTAAAAATTCATATACACATCTATCACACTCTTCGTACTGTAAAAAATAATGATTTAGGATTTGCTGCTGCTGCACGGTTTGCTGCTGCTGCTGGGTTTGCTGCTGCTGCAGAGTTTGCTGCTGCAAGTGCCTCTGTGTTGTGTGTCTCTAAACATTTTGCTTTCGCTCTAACTGTCTCTTTCTTTATCTCCTTCTTTATCTGTCTCTCTTCTTCTCTTTCTGTCTCTTTCTTCATCTTTAACCCTAAACCCTCTCTCTCTCTCTGCCTCTCTGTCTGTCTGTCTGTCTGTCTCTGTCTCTCTCTCTCTCTCTCTCTGTCCCCCTTCTCTCTTTCTTGTTTATGTATGCCTTCAGATACTTAAAAATGATTGTACATGAAAACTCTTTTCATCGTGCATCTAAGCCTATTTATTCCTTCAGGTGTCTGTACACACCGGATTGAGCATCCCCTGTTTCTTTAGGGTTTCTTCTTCTAACGATCTTTCAATTGATTTTAATCTACCAGCAAAAAATGAAGTAGGCTTCCCCGCCTCCTCCTCTGCAAACCCACGCGTTGAACCCCAGGCGAAACCCACAACACCGCTGCATACCTAAGCAAACAAACAAACAAACAAATAAACAAACAAACAAACAAACAAATAAACAAACAAACAAATAAACAAATAAACAAACAAACAAACAAACAAATAAATAAACAAACAAATAAACAAATAAAAGAAAAGAAAAATATTATTCAAATAATTTATTTGCAGTGCTTAATAATTAAAGAAAGAAAACAGTATAACAAATATATAAACAAATAAATAAATAAATAAATAAATAAATAAAAATATTATTCAAATAAATTGGTAGTGTTTAATAATAAAGACAAAAAAGAAAAAAAGAATAATACAAACAAACACTGAAAAAAATTAATTATTAATAAACGATAGAAATAACGAGCAAAGAACGCAGATAAACAAAACAAACAATAAAAAATAAAAATAATAAAAATAAAAATAATAATGATAATAGAAATACCTGTGTATGCAAGAGAAGTTTTTCTTGTTTGTCTATTGAAGGAGCAAAGATATGTATAGCAAAAGAATCTGCTACAAGCATGACTGCTCTATCTTTGTTCGTTCGTATATTAACTTGAGGTTTAGAAGATAAATAAAAAAGAAAAGGATAATCTAGAGGCAGCATTAAAAGACTATTAGTATGCTGCAGAGATGCATGCATGCGAAAGAAGATTGGGTTTGTTGCTGCTGCTGCTGCTGATGCTGCTGCTGCTGCTGCTGATGCTGCTGATGCTGCTGATGATGGATCAGCACCGTTTGCTGTTTTTGTTCCTGCTGCTGCTGCTGTGGTCGCCGCTGCTGCTGCTTTTGCTGCTGCTGCTTCTGCTGCATTTGTATTATAAACCCCTATTCTATAGTGACATAGGCGGCTGTTGTGTTGATAAAAATTATTCTCGACTACAGCAACTAATTGATTGTATTCATTTATATATGCTTTCTCTGTAAATAAACGAGAAGAAGGTCTTAGCGAGGTGCTCCACATATTACGAGCAAATGTCTCTGTGTTGCACGATTGTACATAGACACTCAGCTGCTGCAGCTCTTTCTCTTGTTGCTGCTGCTGCTCCTGCTGCTGTTGCTCCTGCTGCTGCTCCTCCTCCTCCTCCTGACGTGCACGCAGATCTGCATCTAAAGTTAAGACCAAATAACCCCCAGCCACTCTAAACAGAGACAGCACAAATAAACAGAGACAGCAGAAATAAATGCGATAAAGATGTTAAGAGAGACAGCAGAGAAAAACAAAACAAATAAACAGCAATCAGAGAGAAAGCGAAAGAGACAAACGGAGACAGGTAAATTAATATACAACAAAAATCAAGACTGACGTCCCACTGCTGCTGCATGAGCACAGGAAGCAGCAACAGGAGCACAGGAAGCAGCAGCAGCAGCATCAGCAGCATCACCGCAAGCAGCAGCATGAGAAGCAGCCAAAGCACCAGCGGCAACAACAACAGCAACAGCAGGAACAGCAGCAGCAGCAGCAGCAGCAGCAGCACCAGGAACAGCAGCAGCAGCAGCAGGAGCAGCAGCAGCAGGAACAGCAGCAGCAGCAGCAGCAGGAAGAAGCAGTACTCTGTTTCAAAGGAGAAGAATTTGGGGTTGAGGGGGTCTACAGAGAAGAGAGATTTGTCTGCGGCGTCTCTGAGGGGTATATAAGCACTCTGTGCTCTCGCAACTAATTGAATATACGGCTCATAGCCCTGCATATCAACAAATAAATAAATAAATTAAACTTCTTTGTCTTTATCTTTGTCGCTGTCTTTGTCGCTGTCTTTGGTGTTTATTTTATTATTTATTTATTTCGCTTATTTGCTCTTTATTTTGAGCGGTCTTTTGTTTTGTTGTTGGGGGTTTAATTTAGTTTAATTTAATTTAATTTAATTTTATTTAATTTTATTTAATTTAATTTAATTTAATTTAATTTAATTTAATTTAATTTAATTTAATTTAATTTAATTTAATTTTATTTAATTTTATTTTTTTTATTCTGTTGGTGTTTGTGTTGAGTGTTTTGCTGTCTTTGTATTTTATTTTTATTTTTATTTTTATTTTATTTTTACTACAAACAAAGACAGAAAAATCAAATAAACAGAGACAGGCAGATAAATAAATAAATAAATAAATAAATAAATAAATAAATAATAAATGCAGATAGATAGATAGATAGATAGATAGATAGACAGATAACCACCGTAAGAAACAAAAGAATAAAGATCTATATATCTATTATATAATAATATATATAAGTATATAAATATATATATTATATATTATATATTAGGTGCTGCAGTAAACCTTACTGGGTCTCTGTCTATATTTAGCCGAACGACAACATAAAGCAGACGACGAATATGCAGCGCCTTTCTCTCTTTTTTAATATCTACTTCAGTAATTCTCTGATCTCCAATTAAAAAGCTCCGCCCACGCCAACATACTTCAGATCCGTCAGGCAGCAAACACCCCTCAGCTGTATACGGTACTATAAACACAGCAGCAGCACCAGCAGCAGCAGCAGCAACAGCAGTAGGAGGAGGAGGGGGAGGAACAGCAGCGTAGCAGCAGCAGCAGCAGCAGCAGCAGCAGCACGGTAAGAACAAAAACAACAACAGCAGCAGCATCACAACTACCACCATTAATAGCAGCACAACCACTACCAGCAGCAACAGCAGCAGCAGCAACAGCAGCAGCAGCAACAGCAGCAACAGCAACAGCAGCAGCAACAGCAGCAAGAGATGCGTACTTGGGTCTTGGAGTAGCTGTTCATGGAAGTCCAGCCAAGCTGTCATATCTTTGACAAGTTTAGCATCTGAAGAAGTTAGTTTAATATAAATATCTGCTGAAGGATTGTCTAAAGGATATATAAAAACTTTAACTCCTCCAGACAAAACAAAAGAATGCAGCAGCAACTCTACTGGTGAGCCGAAGTACCCATGAATAAAAACATCGCCTAAGTGTGAAAATATCAACAATGAAAATGAAGTCTCTCGAGGCAGCTCTTCATCTGCACACAAAACAGCAGCAGCAGCAGCAGCAGCAGCAGCAGCAACAAGAGAAGCAGCAGCAGCAGCAAGAGAAGCAGCAGCACCAGGAGCAGCAAATGAAAGCATATTCATACAACCCAATAGCAGCCCATATCCTTACATGCAACAAAAGCATATGCATACATATGAAGCAGCAGCAGCAGCAGCAGCAGCAGCAGCGGGAGCAGCAGGAACAGCAGCAGCAGCAACACCAACGACAGCACCAGCAACAGCAGCAGGCGTAGCAGCAGCACTACCAGTGGCAGCAGCAGCAGGACCCCCGTGCAGCGTTAGAACGAGGGTCTTGATGGGTTTAGGGTTTAGGGTTTAGGGTTTGCTGCACCGTTTGCATATCGGTCGTAGACAGATATAAGCAGTTCGCAGTCATCAACAGTATATAGAGAACCCTCTTCATCAGACAAACCCCCAGACACGCTTCCAGCCTCCTTTAGGGTTTGAGGGCTGCAGGGAGAGGCGTAGTCCTCTTCACCTACTAAACCCCAACTCGAACCTGCACACAAACCCTAAACCCTAAACCCTAAACCCTAAGAAACCCTAAACCCTAAAATACCCTAAACCCTAACAAACCCTAAACCCTAACAAACCCTAAACCCTCACACACCCCAAACTGTAAACCCTGAGAAACCCTAAACCCTGAGGAACCCGAAACCCTACGAAGCTTTAAACTTTGAACCATAAGAAACCGTAAACCCTAGACCCTAAACCCTAAACCCTAGGGCGAAGCCTACCGATACGCAAGAAGAGAGTGTTGGGGTCGTCTGCATATGGCTGCAGTTTATACACCCCAGTAGGCAGATTGTCGTCTTGAGGTTTTGCTGTTTGATGAATATAGGAGTCGTGCTTATGAAGCCTCGTTACATAAACATCAATAGGATTGCTATATGTAGCAGCTCGAAGCAGTATTAAAGCATTCTTACGTCTAGCAGCAGCAGCTCCTGCTGCTGCTGCTGCTGCTGCTGCCTGCTTGCTGCTGCTGCTGCTGCTGCTGTCTGCTGCTCCTGCTCCTGGGGGTATAATATATCTATCGCTTGCATAGTATTTCGGACTCCAAACAAACCGAGAAACACTATCGCCCCGCACATAACCTAATAATGGGATGCCTGTCCTCAGCAGCCTTGTAGAAATTGCATCTGGTGCTGCTGCAGACTGTATAGATACCTCTAGGGTGTATAGGCAGGTATCTAGTCGAGAAAGAGATAAATCATGCACCTAAAACAAACAAAACAAACTTTATGTATATATTAAATATATATATTTGCTTAATAAACACAAATTATAAAGCAATACACCTCAATAAACTAATAAATCTACATACAGCAAACATTCACAAACAAACACAATAAACAAAATAAACCACCTACTCCTACTCCTCCTGCTGCTACTGCTTCTGCTGCTGCTGCTGCTGCTGCTTCTGCTGCTGCTGCTGCTGCTGCTGCTGCTACTGCTACTGCTTCTGCTGCTGCTGCTGCTGCTGCTGCTGCTGCTGCTGCTGCTGCTTGTGTTGTTGTTTGTCTTACCAGGAAGAGGAAATAACCCTGAGTCCAGTCTCTTTCTTTTCTTTTAATTATGACTTTGCGGCTGTTAGGAAATCTAAAAACGCGAGAGAAACCATCAGGCCACACAACTGTTAGTGAGGGGCCCCCGCTGCTGCTGCTGCTGCTGCTGCTGCTGCTGCTGTTGCTGCTGTTGCTGCTGCTGCTGCTGCTGGTGAATGATTGCGCTTCAAGAAGAATACGTATAGAGGCGTCTGCATCATCCTCCAGCAACTTGGGGTGTATATCCAGCTTAAAATAATCAGAGCTCCTTCCTTGTAAAACACCGCGATAAGGAACACCAGAAGATAAGAGATTAACAGCAAAAGAGTAAGAATTGCTGCTGCCTTCCAGCAGCAAGCGGTACGGTTGTGCTGTTGGGGCTTCAATATCAATGCGTAGCACACAAAGAGAAGCAGGGATTGATGCTGCTGCTGCTGCTGCTTCTGCTGCTTCGCCTTCTGCTTCTTCTGCTGCTTTGGCGCCTGCAGCACCAGCAGCAGAAACCATTTCTTTCTTCTTGCCCCCCGAACTGCTGCTGCTGCTGCTGTTGCTGCTGCTGTTGCTGCTAGAGGAAGCAGGCGCAGCAGCAGCAGCAGCAGAGCTCGAAGCAAATGTACACCCCAGCTGCTTCCGCAGCTGCGACAACTTTGCGTGGTGTATATACACCTGAGGAGCTGTAAGACCGTCAGACCACCACTGTGCAGTGCCCTCGCTTAAGGGTGTTAAATCTTTTAATTCAAAACCCTTTTGTAAAGCAGCATATGCATCTGCACCCTCTTCTACATTCACTGCACACAACAACACAAACCCTAAACCCTAAACCCTAAACCCTGACACTTAAACCCTCAAAATTCAACCCTTAAACTTCAAAAGAAACAAAAATATACACTTCTGCTGCAATTCTATGCCATCGAAGATACACCAACAAACCCTAAACCCTAAACCCTAAATAATAAACAATACAATATATCTCAGACCCTAAACCCTAAACAATAAACACCCAACCGTAGGCCCTAAACCCTAAGTAAGCCCTCGCCAATAAAACCCTAAACCCTGGCACCCCTTCCCCGCCAACCCCTAAACCCTAAACCCTAAACCCTGACAATGTAAATTCTTACAGGAGATTCTGTAATCAACATTGGGTTTGAGGTCTGTGAAGACGAGGGTTTTATGAAGGTGGGGTTGCAGCACTCCAACATTAGTTTGGTTTAATTGCAGGAAAGAAAAAGAAGTGCTTTGAATATCTACAGTGAGACGAAAGTTGCTGGGTAGTGATGCATACACCGCAATGAAGAATGTGCATACACCGTAATTTTCAATAAGTCTTTTATTGCAATATCTTCTGAATAAAGGGCTGCCGCTAGAAATAAATAATATATTATCTCCAATATCTGAAGAACTAAATAAAAAAGAAGAGCTGTCTCCGATATCAATACTTCGTTTTACTCCAACATACACTCCAGCAGACCCCACACCTCCACCTGCATATACACCCCAAACACGCATACAATTTAAACAAAATTCTAATATTTTAACATCTATATGTCATTACTAAATCTTCATTATCAACAACTTCACTCAAAATGCAGCAGAAACAGTAGCAGCAGCAGCAGGGACAGCAGCAGGTGCAACAGCAGCAGTAGCAGCAGCAGAAGCAGCAGCAATAGCAGCACAAGTAATAACTGCCGTAAAAGCAGCAAGAGCAGCACCAACAGGAAGCGCGGCATCAGCAGCAGCAAGAGCAGCAGCAGCAACAGGAAGAGCAACAGCAGCAACAGGAAGAGAAGGAAGGGGAGCAGCAGCAGCAACAGGAAGAGCAGCAGCAACAGCAGCACGAGAAGGAAGGAGAGCAGCAGCAGCAGCAGCAGGTGCAGCAGGTGCAGCAGCAGCAGCAGCAGCAGCAGGATGAAGGTACTTGTAAGATAGATGATAATATCTTTATTTATATCGGGGCTGTTGATAACGAAAACCCTCTTCTCTCCTTTACTTAAAAACCCCTCTGCTGTTTCGCCAAAAGCCAGCGGAGTTGCATTTGCAGCAAAGCTGCACATTAGAGTAAATGTATCTTCTGTTGCTGCTGCTGCTGCTGCTGTTGCTGTTGTAGGTGCTGCTGCTGCTGCTGCTGCTGCTGCTGCACGCTTAAGAGGGCCTGGAGCTTCGGGTGACTGTGCATGGGTGGAGTTATATCCCTCCGCAACAATCACGTACGCAGCTTCAAAACCCTCAGTCGAGGGTTTAGGGTCTGACGAGGGTTTATAAAATAATAAATCCAACGAACGCAAAGAAGGAAGCACAGACCCAGAACGCTCAGGCCAAAATATCGATCCTACACACACACTCAAACCCTAAACCCTAAACCCTAAACCCTAAACCCTAAGCCCTAAGCCCTAAACCCTAAACCCTAAACCGTAAAGCCTAATTTCTGAACCCTAAACCCTTTAAACGCAACAAACCCTAAACCCTACAACCCGTAAAGCCAAACTCTAAAGCCTACAAGCAACCTTCTCAAGCCCCCAATAAAAGCCTAAACCCTAAACCCTAAACCCTAAACCCTCAGGAGGTTGCGGCTGTGGCTTCCCGCTTCCGCGCCCATAGTTAGCCTCCAAACCCTAAACCCTAAACCCTAAACCCTAAACCCTGGATGTACCTGGTTCTTCTGGGAGAGGGAGTTTGTAGTTGTCTTCATTAAGAGCCCTAAACCCTTGCAAACCCTCAGACCCCCAAGTTATTGCATTAGCAAACAAACGTACGGAAGTTAAACCAAAGCTATTCGCAGTGCAGCGAATAGACGGGTCAAACCCTAAACCCCCAACTGAAACCACACGCACAAACCCTAAACCCTAAACCCTAAACCCTAAACCCTTAAACCTATCGATAAACCCTAAATTTTCAATATATACACGCTTTAAACTCATCCCAGACTGAAACAACAAGCGCAAACCCTAAACCCCAAACCCTAAACACACATTAACCTTAAACCCTAAACCCTAAACCCTAATCATTCGAAGCAGACACACTGTCATTCCCCCGGTGAAACAACCCACACAACCCTAAACCCTAAACCCTAAACCCTAAACGCTAAATGCACACCCACCGTAACCCTCGACGGTACCTAACACTACAGACAAACCCTAAACCCTAAACCCTAAACCCTAAACCCTAAACCCTAGAGCCTGACCTGTCTGGACGTTGAAGTCGAGGGGAAAGATGAAGATTTTTCTGTGGTTTGGACTATTAGGGTCTGCTGAAATATCGCTTGAGACAACAGAGCCCGGGGTAATATGTTGAGCATTGCTTTGAAGGGTTTGCAAGTTGGGGTGTCTGTACACCCGAATGCTTCCATCAACCAAACCTCCAAAGGCTGCTGTTAATTGAATAGAAACCGGAACATCTTTAGTTGTTGGGTTTAGTAATATACGCCAGACCCCAACAGCTTCAGACGTAGACACCTGAAGGCTTCGCTCTCCTCCCGCTGCTGCTGCTGCTGCTCCTGCTGCTGCTGCTGCTGCTGCTCGTTCTTCTTTAATTGAAATAACTACTGATAAAGGAGAGCGACGCCTCACTTCAAATGCCCACGGCTTCTCATTCCCAGGAGAAAACAAAAAAACTTCAGTAAGACGGTCACTAGACACCACACTCAGCTTAAAACCCAACGGCCTGCGCAAACCCTAAACCCTAAACCCTAAACCCTTAGCCCTAAACCCTAAACCCTAAACCCTAAACCCTAAACCCTTAGCCATAAACCCTTAGCCCTAGACCCTAGATATATATGGTGCACAGAGATTGAGTCTACGGTCACTAGATACCGCACTCAGCTTAAAACCCAAAGGCCTGCGCAAATCCTAAACCCTAAACCCTAAATATATATATATATACATATACATATATATATGATAGAACCTCCGTTTGCACTGTTTCTTTACTCAGTTGAGTATAACGGGTGGCTGTTGTGTTGTTTAGGGTTTAGGGTTATTAGGGTTTAGGGTTGATAGGGTTTAGGGTTAATAGGGTTTAGGGTTGATAATAGTAATGAATACCTTTGTGTAAGCTGCTCTTGCTGCATTTTTTGTTTCGAGACAAGAAGAGTGCAGAGGATGTCTCCTGTCTCCTTTGCATGCGTAGCAAGAGGTGAAGACGCAAATATAATAGGCCCCTCTACTTTAGCTGTTTTAAAGGCTTCATTATCATGCCAGTCCCCGGGTAGACGAAGCAGCATAGGGATACCGTTTCGTAGAGGCACCTCAGATATATGCAGATCTGCAGACCCAGCTGCATGCATTAATAAAGATAGCCTGCGTATACACCCCAACACTTCACATCAAAACCTGCTGTACACATAGACACCCCAACTCTTTACTTCTTTCTCATAGTTTTGTTTGGATACACGCAGATATAAAAACTCAACATAAATAGTAGAAACAAATACCTAAACCCTAAACCCTAAACCCTAAACCCTAAATACACAAAAACCCTCCCACTAACCACACCCAAACCCAAAACACTAAACCCTAAACCCTAAACCCTAATCCCTAAAACCCTAAACCCCAAACCCCAAACCGCACAACCCACTCTCCAACCCCTAGACCCTAAACCCCAAACCACGCATCCCATCCTCCAAACCCTAAACCCTAAACCCTAAACCCTAAACCCTAAACCCTAAACCCTCGGTTTGTGCTTACGTGCTGGTGGTGGAGTTGGGGACAAGGAAACGAACGGCATAGAAATAATCCGGCAGAGGGTTAGCAAGAATCAACGACAAAGTTGCATCTTCATCTTCAGAAGGAGACACGCAAATTGAACCCGGAGGGGTTATCCCTGGTAGCGGGAGGCCCTGCAGCAGCAGCAGCAGCAGCAGCAGCAGCAGTAGCAGCAGCAATAGCGGTAGCAGCAGCAGCAAACCCTAAACCCTAAACCCTAGAAGAGTGCAGGAGACAAGGAAGAGCGAAGAGCGCGCGGCTTGAACGGGTGCAGACCCCCGTACAGCGTCCCCCGTGTTTAAACCCTAAACCCTAAACCCCAAACCCTAAACCCTAAACCCTAAACCCTAGACGGTTGAGCATACCGAGCAGGTTACGAGGGGGGTTACTGCCGATTGACAGGGGAAGATGCATATTTCTGCTGGTAGAGGGCCTTCTTGTTTAGTAGTTTGAAGAAGAACAGCACTATTTGAGCTATCTGTCCTAATAGCTGCATGCTGATATCTGCATGACTGAGAGAACGGGATTAAACTAAGCAAAGACAGCTGACCGACATCAATGAATGGGAACAAGCGAGGGTCTTGCTTGCTGCCTTCACTAGAGACAGTAATCCTCAGCAGCGTAGCTGCTGCTGCTGCTGCTGCTTCTCCTCCTGCTGCTGCTGCTCCTGCTGCAGCAGCAGCAGGAGGTGTACGTACACCGCAGATAAAATCCCCGTAAGGCGCTAAACCGCGTCGGTAATCGCTGCGAGGACGCAGCACTAAAAGGCCGCTCCAATCTCCTTCAGTCGCTCGCCAGCAGAAAGGCTGCTCCTTGGACCCCTATATCACAGTGCAGCAGCAGCAGCAGCAGCAGCAGCAGCAGCAGTAGTAGTAGTAGTAGTTGTTGTTGTTGTTGTTGTTGTTGTGGTATATGAAGCATAGGATGTAATTGCGGGCGCAGCACAAGCAGTCGTAGTACACCCTGCAGCAGCTAAAGTGCCTGCTGCTGCTGCTGCTGCTGCTGCAACAACAGTAGCAGCAGCTCCTGTACCTGCTGCTGCTGGAGCAGCAGCAGGAGCAGCAATGAGAGTAATGGCAGCAACAGCAACAGCGGAGGTGAGGGAGTGTGAGTTTGACGAACACCAAACCCTAAACCCTAAACCCTAAACCCTAAACCCTCGCCGGCAAAGGACCTAAGACACTGCACCCACATCCCCAAACCCTAAACCCTAAACCCTAAACCCTAGAGCCCTCTTACCAGTGCAGGATCCGGGCGTGTTTCTTTTTCTTTATTACAACAAGAGATTGCAGCAGGATGCTCATTTATTGGGTATAAAGCAACAAGAAAGGGATTATATCTATCTCTGGCCTCTCTCTGTGGTGCTGTTTGCTGCAAGCAATAATGTGTGGGGTCGTAGGGAGTCTCCTCAATACGAAAAGTAAATAAACGCAAGCTGTCTGTACACCCCAACAACAAACAAAAATATAGTATTATGAATGAAAATGCACAGCACATCAAATACTCCTCATGATGGTTTAGGGTTTAGGGTTTAGCGCAGCACAAAAAATGCTGAAAAGGGCCTAGGGTTTAGGGTTTAGGGTTTAGAAACAGCACCACGCCTGCTGAGAAGGACCTAGGGTTTAGGGTTTAGGGTTTAGGGTTTAGAGAAAGACCTGGGGGTAAGATAAAATCAAAGCTGCGCTCCATTGAGAGGGTGGTGAGGGCCCCAGGGGCCCCCAAATTTAATTCAAAGTCTCGAGGTGCAGCAGAAGACCGAAGCAGCACTAATATATACAGCGTCTGATCTCTTTCTATGAAACAAACAAACGCATGCAAATAAACAAACTCATGCTGCTCTCCCTCAACAGTTACACTCCAGATAACCAACTACATATCTATACCTCCATGTACACCCTAAACCCTAAACCCTAAACCCTAAACCCTAAACCCTAGTGAAGAAAGAGAAACATGATATACGCGTAGCCAAGATAATCAGCAAATGCAAATACACTGAGCAACATCTGTCTATATATATACACATACACCTAGGGTTTCTAGGGTTTAGGGTTTAGGGTTTAATATGCTTTTTAAATCTGCAGCTTACTCGGACGAACAGAAAGGAAATGAGTACCCTCAACAAACCCTTGTGCTTCAATCGTTTCGCATGCAGCCCCATCGGGGGCCTCCTCTTCAGAGGGGCCCCCATCTGGGGGCCCCTCCTCACGGGGGGCCTCCTCAGTAGGGGTTTGAGGTATGCAGTTCCAAGCAGCAAGAAGAGCAAACGGTGAAGTCTCTTCTGTTTCATAAGGGCTGCTTGAGGGTCGTTCAGTCAGGGTCTGAAGACAACAAACAACAAACCCTAAACCCTAAACCCTAGACCCTAAACCCTAAAATTTTCATACCTTTCCCAACTATCAGTCACCCTAGCGGCCGTCTTGGGTACGAGAGGGAAATAGGGTTTACGAGGTCTATAGCTTGAATAGGGATCAGGGATGGTTAGGGTTTAGGGTTTAGGGTTTAGGGTTCATTCATGTTGCTTTTAGGGTTTAGGGTTTAGGGTTTATTGCTGTGGTTGATGTATTAGGGTTTGTATGTTTTGGTTTCTTTTAGGGTTTCAGGGCGAATTAGGGTTTAGGGTTTAGGGTTTAGGGTTTACGATATGGAGCATATCCTCTTCCCCAGGCTCATCACCGCGAAAACAACCTTTTCTTTTATTGCATTTATAAACAAAAAGAGCAGTCTGTCGTCGAGACACTCGGGATGAAATACTACCGCAAACAAGCGGCGCATGGCGGCCATTCCTCGAGCACTGCATGCAACAAACCGTAAACCGTAAACCGTAAACCCTAAACCCTAAACCCTAAACCCTAAGATTACTTGAAGAGGAGACTCGGCAGTTACAAAGAAAGAAAGCGGACAGGCAGCATTAGCTGCAGAGCCAGCAAAAGAAATAGGTGCTCTGCTGCCTTGTAAAAACCCTAGGTCTGAGTTAAACAAACGAAAGCCGTGAATACGAGAGGCGACCTCTGCTGACCCCACAATCTCCTGTAGACGCCCAAACACTAGCTGCACACAAACCACAAACCACAAACCCTAAACCCTAAACCCTAAACCCTTAAACACTAACCACAAACCACAAACCCTTAAACACAAACCACAAACCCTTAAACGCTAACCACAAACCACAAACCACAAACCCTTAAACGGAAACCACAAACCCTTAAACCCTTAAACCCTTAAACACTGAAACACTAAAACGGAAACCCTAAACCCTAATACGGAAACCCTAAACCCTAAACCCTAACATCCTAAATCCTAAGACGGAAACCCTCAACTCTAAACCCTAAATCGTAAACCCAAAACCCTAAACCCTAAGTGCTTAATAATGTACAGTAGACAAGACGTAATACCCAACTCTGCCTCTACAATAAATCTATATCCTAAACCCTAAACCCTAAACCATAAGCACTAAATAGTAAACTTTAAACCCTACTTCACAAACCCTAAACCCCAAACCCTAAACCCTAAACCCTGGGAGCTCCCAAAGCCATGGGAGCCGCGGAAATGCTGAGGCACTCTCACCCGGAAAACTTCAAAGCAAAACCCTAAACCCTAAACCCTAAACCCTGAACCTGACTCTCGAAAGGAAGCCCTAAACCCTTAACCCTTAATTCTTCTTTAACATAAACCCTAGAGAAACCCTCTACCGTAAAGCCAAAACCCTAAACCCTAAACCCTAAACCCTCGGAGTTCCGGACGCCTTTGTGGGGGCCACAAGTGCAGCAAAGGGTCTGGCTACTAACCCTAGGGTTTAGGGTTTAGGGTTTAGGGTTTACCGGGGTAGGCTCTCTGCCCTTGTGCTCCGCGAGGATCTTGCAGAAGCGCCCATCATCGTCATCCGAGCTGCTGCTGCTGCTGCTGCTGCTGCTGTTGCTTGTCAAGAGCTTCAGCTGCTTCATTATATTTTCATCAGGTGCTTCTGCTGCGTCCATCCCTGCTGCTGCTGCTGCTGCTGCTGCCTCCAGCGGCTGTGGGGCCGACACTAGGCTTGCAACAGCAACAGGAGGCGCAGCAGCAGCAGCAGCAGCAGCAGGACCAGCAGCAGCTTTTTGCTCTAAGGCCATCTTAGCCAAACTCAGTACATCCCCCACGCTCAGCCCTCCTGTTAAGCTGCTGCTGTCCAGACTCTGCTGCAGCTGCGGCTGCTGCTGCTGCTGCGGCTGCTGCTGCTGCGGCTGCTGGGGCTCCTGCTGCTGGGGTTGCTG